TGCTAAGCTTGTTCTAAGTAGGTGCTTTAGACCACTGAGCCATCTCACCAGCCCCAAAAGCTTAATTTCATTGCCATTTGAATCTTTTGAATATTTTTTTTTCCCGGAACCGGGGATTGAACTCAGACCCTTATGCTTGCCAAGGAAGCGCTTATTCCACTGAGCCATCTCCCCGGCCCCCACCCCTTCTTTTTAATAGTTATATCCCTTCCATTGCAGGGGTGCAGTTACCAGGAAATATCAAAACCATGCTAGGGGCTGGTGAGATGGCTCAGTGGTCTAAAGCACCTACTTAGAACAAGCTTAGCAAAGCACAGGGACTACGGTTCAATCCCCTGGCACCGCATGCCAGCCAGCCCCACCCCCTGGTGGGCTGGGCTGCCCCCCCCCAAAAATAAAAAAAAAAAAACATGCTAAATCTAGTAAATTCTCTCCTAAATAAGTTGGTATTTGTCTATCATTACCTGTAAAACCATAAAAATATAATATCCCTATTAAATTTTTAGGGTTCCAGGATTCACCTCAGCGAGAAAGTACCAAGCCAACGTACCCCTGTGCCCAGCTCCAGCCTGCCACATCTACTGCTGGTGAGCAGGCTCCTTGCTTCACCCACCTTTCACTTTCAGTTGACCTTACCCACTTTCCAGGCCTCATGTACTTGGAAAAACAGTCTACATACATAGGTGGGAAAGACCATACTAGAAACACGGATTGGGTAAGGCCCAGGGGAATATTCTACAATGCTCCCACAGTGGCTGGCACAGCTGGGTCTTGGGCAAGCTTGCCAAAGCTGCCCCTACCTCTGTGATAGGGAGGGCACAACTTTTATTCTCAGAAAAGCTGTGTCATCTTATCCAGCCCCATACCCTTCTCTCTCATGAAAAAAAAAGTTATTATTTCCTTCTTAAGAGTGTGCACAGGGGCTGGAGAGATGGCTCAGTGGTCTAAAGCACCTACTTAGAACAAGCTTGGCAAAGCACAGGGACCATGGTTCGATCCCCCAGCACCACATGCCAGCCAGCCCC